CACTGTAGAATAACTATTTCTTGAGTTTCAAGTCTGTACCAGGACCTGATTTGGTTCAGTGCCTAGCTACATTTCACTTCATGGCAGTCTTCACAATAGCCTTATATGTGTTTTCTATAATTGCTGGAGGGAACCTGAAACACAGAGATTTCTCCTCTCACACTTGGCAGGGCTGGAATTCCGAAATCAAGGCATTGATAGGTAGGGCTGTGCTCTGTAGAGGGCGCTAGAGGGGAATCTGTCCAGTGCCGGCCTCCTGGTATTTAGTGTCACCAGCAAACTTTGGCTTGCAGCTGCCCTGCTCCAGTCCCTGCTTCCTTCTTTGCAACGCTGTCTTCTTGTGCTTCTGTCTCAGCATGTGGCCGTCTTCTTACAAGGCCACCAGTCATACGGGGTTGGGGCCCACTCTGCTCCAGTTTGGCCTTATGACTTAGTTACATGTACAGCGACCCTATTTCAAACAAGGCAACACTCTGAAATTGTGGAGGTTAGGACTTCAGCATATCTTTTCCTGGGATAGGGGCAGGACAATTCAACTTACAACACCTCCAGTCAAATTTTTGTTTCCACCTCTCAGGTGGGAAAATTGTATTTCCTAGAGTTTGAATAAACCAGGCATGGTGGCATGTGCTTGTAATCCCAGCACTCTGGGAGACTGAGTCAGGAGGAGCACAAGGTCGAACCCAGCCAGTGAACCTGGCCTGTTTCAAAATAAAACATAAAAAAGGGTTGGGGTGTAGCTCAGTGCAAAGGCTCTGGATTCAATCTCCAGTCCTGAGAAGAAAGGGAAAAAAATGAGTCTTATTTTGAGACCACTACAACATCACACTCAGAATTTGAGCCCCAATCTGGTGGCTTCCTCCAGTATAAAAGAGATGCCTCGCTGTGAATCTAGTCACAAACAAGAAGTCAGAGGCATACAAATTAGTTTGTGTTTAGCTGCCTTTTTAACAAATTGCCTCTATCAGAGACAGCAAAACTTCATGAAAAGATTAATTGGAGCAAAACAAAAAAATAAAGGGAAAAGGAGAAAAACCCACACCACCAGGAGGGTGCTTTGGATGTTGGTTCCTGGGCTTCAGATAAATAGCTCAGCCCAGGCAACTTTGCTATTTCAGCAGTCTCTGGGTCGCTGTGGAGACAAGCTGATAGATTGTGTGATCTTGGCTATTAATCCGCCCTCAAGTGGCCTGTGATTCTGTCCCTGCTTTACATAGCTGACCTCCCTGTCTCCGAGACATTCTGCCACTGCAGCAGGATTTGGAGACGGATCCCTGGGAAAGGGCAGAAGAGGGTGTTAGGGGACTGGCTATAACCACACTGATGAGCTCAGCAGGATGCTGAAACCCCTAGGACAGGGATGATGCTCATGGGTCGCAGCCTGCACTAAAGGCCAGCAGGGAAGAGTCACAAGGGCTTTCCTGAGACAGGTAGGAAACACGTTCAGTATTTGTATTCTGACCCACAGAGCTCAGCTCATTCATCACGCTGTGATGTTTTACATGTCCATATTCCTCAAAGCATTAGTGAAGGACCGTGTATGTTCCTATGTCCCCGTCAGAAGATAAGGAAACACAGGGTCACTGGTTCATTCAACAAGTCTCTGGACACCTGTTGCATGGGACACCTCAGGCCAGTGGAGGGTGAGGATGGAAGTAGTGCAGCATTTAAATCTCAGGCACTGGGGAAGATGGATGTATCATTAAATCCTGGCTCTGCTGCCGAGGGTGAGTCTGTAGAAGGTGGAGACACCATCTTCTGAGCCACAGCTTAGTATAGTACATGGAAAGCAATGGCTTTGGAATACACAGGCCTGGGCATGGGCTTGGTCTCAGACCCTCACTCTTGGGTGGACCCCAGCATGTGGCTTCGCTTGAGTGTCAGCATACTGGTCAGTGCCTGCCTGGTGGCAAGGGACACAGAAACCAACTTGAGCTGGCTTAAGCTGAAAAGGAAAATCTATTGCATTCTCTCCACACCCCATCTCTGCTCGTCTCTGCCTTAGCTTGCTGTCCTCCTACACAGAGTGATGTTAGGGCCAGGGATTGTGGCTGCTGGTAGGTCTGACCTTATTGAATGCCAGCATCGTCGGTCAGCAGAGGCAGATGTCTTTCCCCTGCTTTATCCATAAAAGCCCACTTAGTGGGCCTTGTGTCCTTCCCTGGAGCAAGTGCTCTGGCTGGTGGCATGCATACTGTGATTGACCCTCCCCGCCAAAGTCAGTGTATCCCAGTGGTCAGGCAGGTAAGAAATGCTAGTAGAACAACAGGGAGGGGGATACTTTGGAGGCACAAATAGGTACCACTACAGTCTCTCAGACGTATGTTCGTTCCCATCAACTACATAGTGAAAATCTTACCTCATGGGATCACTGTTCTACAGGTCGCCAAATGTACCTACCCTCACCCTAAGGTGAGACCACCCAAAATCATATTGCATCCAGCTCCAGGGCCAGTGTGACAGGGGTAGGAGCATCCCTCCTTTCAGGTCTTGCAGTAGCTCCTTATGATCTTGAAACGTGTGAGCCTACAGGGAGAAAAACTCTCCAAGTTTGAAGTGATTGGACAACAGACCTGGGCTTACACTTGAAGTGAGACACTTGTGAGCCCTAGGAACCTGGGAAAATTACATGGCTTCCCATTTCATTTAGAGAAGAGAACACAGAAATAACATGATAGTTATCGATCAAAGCATACACCACAGGCTCAAAATAAGATTCACTTCCAAGGGCTGGGGATATACCAAAGTGGCACAGCACCTGCCCGGCAAGTGCAAGGTCCTGCGTTCAATTCCCAGTACCAAAAAATAAAGATTCACTTCTAGGCTGACAGTTGGAAAAGTCGTAACAATCAGTTTCCTCATCTGTAAAATGAGTTCATAAGAAGCTGGTGAATACTAAAAATGTTTAATGGAATACATCTGGGCATGTGGGCAGTGTTAGAGCACTTGCTTAGCATGCACAGGGCCTAATCTCCAGGACTACTAACAAACAAAACAAAAAAGGGACATGGCCTATAGTAAACCAGCATGTGGTAGATGCCCAACACATGATAGTTTTGTTCTCTCTCTTTCTCTCATGCAATCTGATGGCAAAGATCTCAGGCTGGCAAAATAAACCAACCTCTCTCCTCTCTGTCTTTTCCTCCCTGCTCTACTCTCCCTCCCTCCCTTCTTCCCTTTCTCCCATCCCGTTCTCCTCCTATCCTTCCCACCATGTGCCTTAGACTCTCAGTCCTTTAGTGAGAGCCTGAGCTAACGCGAGTGTGAAGCCCTCTCCGACAGACCCAGGAAGCTCTCTCTCCCAGCTTACCTCAGGTGGAGCAGCACCCACTGGAGTCAAGGGGCTGTGACCCCATCTGGAATAGATGGACCACGTGTTGTAGAGCAAGCACAAAGACAAGTCGCTGGCCCTACAGAGCTATCACTGTCAGATGTGCCTGCTCCAGGGGTGCCATGTTTCCTTTAAAGATAGACAGCTCTTTTTTTTATTTTAAAAAATAAATGGAGCAAAACATTAACAGAAAGACAACCTTTTACAAAATAGCAAAAGAACAGTACAGACAATACAGAGTTACAAACAAAGTGGTAGGAAATTAACAATGCTTGTTCTATTACATATTGATATCTTCAAAGTGGTTTCTCATGGAAACAAATACAGACATGCAATATTGATCAACCAAGGACTCATTAACAGTTTCTTTCGGCAAAGAAATAGAAGACAGTAGAACAACTATGTTAACTATCCTATATATACATACATACAAAATTTCTCCTTGTTTCCCTTCTCTTTTCTCACATCCCAGTTGCCCTTTACCCTTGAGCATTTTCCTATCATTTCACAATGTCTACCATACCTAAGATGGACAGTTCTAAATGGAGGAGAGCATTGCAGTCTTTTGAAAGAAACCTAAGGTAGCCAAGTCAAGACCAGTATCCAGCAGGGCAGGTGAGTGCCATCCTTAGCAGGGCAGTGCCAAGAGGCACAGTGTTTTGGGGTTGAGCCTGCACCCTCTGCTGGACCCTGTTCCCTACTACAGGAAATGGCCATCAGTCTAGCCAGGTCAGGTGACCAGGGGCAGTTAGTATTTTCGTCCGTCGGTCTCTGTGAGGACCATTTAATTCCAAGAGCTGACTGGATCCACCTCCAACCTGCCATTGCTTCCAGTGGAGTAGTGGGAAGAGCTGATGTGAGCTCCTAGAAACCTGGATTTAAATCTACTTGGCTACCAATTAGCTGCGGGTCTCGGGCAGGCCACTTCCCCTTTCTAGCCCTCTGAATACAAAGCATGAAAATGCCAGAGTTCTTGCTTCACATGGAGCTTTGCAAAGGTCTCCTGGTTTAAGAAACAAGCAGCTTAGAACATGTGCACTGGAGCCAGATTGCTTGGGTCTAGTTTTGCCTTCACAGGTACAAGCTATGAACCTTGAGCAAGTGACTTAACCTCTCTGGGTCTTAGTTTCCCCTTCTGGAGAGAAGGGGAATATTCTCATGGAGTCACTGTAAGGATTCAGTAAGACAATGTGTGTAACACACTTACCAAAGTGTATAGCCAGATAATAATAAGAAGGGTTTTAAGAATAAGTGGGAAAAGACTTTATATAAACTGTAAAGAGTTATCTTGTATATTTACCATGAAGTACTTTAAGAAAACTAAATGTATGCTTTATGATTCAATTTTTGAAAAATAATTGGAAACCCAATAGCTTGGGTTCCTGGGTACCCAGTTCACCAGGAGACCCCGAGTGGTTGGTTGGATCCCTGTCCACAGGAGGGTCCCTCTTACTCCTGGTCGGTCCCGAGGGCCTGTGGCCACAGCACTGCACAGCTGTTGGAACAGCCTCTGCCAATGCCTGTAACCTTTAGTCCCCTATTTCTGCCCAGAGGAAGAAATTGGTACCAAAAGCTCAACAAGGCCACTGGCAGAGCACACTGAGGCTTCCTCCCGTAACCCTGTCAGCTTTGTCCCCAGCCGCATCTGACTTTTCTGCTTTCCCCAAAGCCAAGTACATCGGCTGCTACCTGGATGACACCCAGAGTCGGGCCCTGAGAGGTGTGTCCTTTTTTGACTACAAAAAGATGACCATCTTCCGTTGCCAAGACAACTGTGCGGAAAGGTAGGGCCCTGATATCCCCAGACTGGTCCATCCCACCCCTTCCTCCTCAGGCTCCCGCTGTGATGTTCTTTGTCTCACCGTGGGAGGGTGTATCAGAGGGTGAACCCTGACCATGAGGAGATGGTGATACCAGGGTGTGCAAGTGTGTGTACAAATTTGCACATGTGCAAATGTGAGTGAGCAAGATTAAGAATTTGCCTGGGAGAGTTTGTGATAGTGTAACTATGTGAGATTTGCGTGTCTATGTGTGTGTGTGCACGCATGCACACACTTGTGCCTGGGAGTGAGTTTGTGGTACACAGTGTGTAGGGAAGGTGGGCCATGTTTGTGAGCTTAACACCAATACTTGATGATCTTCCAATAACTGTGGTGATGTGTGAAGGAGTCTCTGTGAATATGTGTGTGAGGGTACAGAATTGTGCTCGCGTGTGCAGGTAGCTGACTGCATTGCTGAATGTGCAACACTGCACTGCCAATGTACAAGGTTATGAGGAACTGCACACAGTTTGCCAAGGCATGACTGAGTGCGCATGTGCCTGCAGGAGCAAGTGTAAACAGGAGGCTTCTCAGGTGTCTGTGTGAAGGGAGAAACGGGTGTGGGTGTCAGGGTATCCAATAGTAGAAACGCTCATTTACGCAGACAGGGTTTCCGATCTAAGAAGATGTGGTTTTGATGAGATCATGCACTGGTGCAAGGGGGTGGAGTTGACCCTTCAAGAGTGGATGAGTCCCCAAAGGTCGGTGAACAGAGTCCCTGGGGTGCTGTGAGGCTGAACCAACTTCCTGTATTTGCCTCCGCGGTCCTTTGACCTATGGCAGCTCTTGAGGAGGCCTCTCATCTGCTCGCTTATGGACTTCAGCCAGCTGGCTCTGGTGGTAACAAGCTCTGCTGACCTCAGCTGCATGGCTGGTGTGGAAATGGGCAAGCGAGTGACCACTCAGGGACTCTTCCTGCCATCTCTGATTAAGAAATATGATCAGCTGCCTGGGGAGCCCACTGCTGAGGTGCTGAGCCCAGGACCCCCTCTCACTGGGGAAGGACCACAGTCCTTGATGATGTAGATTTGTTAATTGATTTGCCAAATTACGGGGTGACAGAGATGGATTCCACAGAGCACCTCCCCTCCTGGACCTTACAGTCTGAAAGGGGAGGCAGACATGTGGTCAGGAAGGACCCTGGGGAGATAAGAGTTGATATGGGATTCTTGCAGAGTTGGAAAAGCAGACAAGGTCTCACCTGCTGGGTGTTAGAAAAGACTTCTCAGAGGTGATGGCAAAGCGGTGTTGGAAGCCAGGCATGGTGGCAGATGCTTATAGTCCAGCACTCTTGGAGACCGAGACATGGGGTGGCAAGTTCAAGCCTGCCTGGACAATTTAGCAACTTAACAAGATCCTGTCTCAAAATTAAAAAAGGAAAAAAAGGAGTTGGGGATGTAGCTCAGTGCAAAGGCCCTAGATCCAATTCCCAGTACTGAAAAAGAAAGAAAGAAGGAAGGAAGGATTAGAGCTACTCAAGCAATTGCACGCAGTTGAGGAAGTTCTTGTTGGCTGCCCAAGTGTGCCAGATGAAAGGATGAGGCAGCTGCAGCCCTTCCCTCAGGGCTTCTATGTAGTCAGGAAACAGAGGCATGAACACGCTGGGGCAAGAGAACAGTAACAGCTTACACTTAGGCAGCACTTGCTGTGTGCAGGCTCTGTTCTAAGCACTTTGCAAATATTAATTCTTTAATCTCATAAGACCCCTGTGAGGCAGGACTAGTATAAACCACATTCCACAGATGAGGACATAGGGGAATGGAGACATTAAGCTTGATGGGTTCATGGAACAGGAAATGCCGTGCAAGAGCAAGGAGTCATGAATGTGGGCGAATACGGGGCTCCACATGGAAGGTTCAGGACAAATTACAAAAGTGAGAGTCTGAGCTGGGTTTTGAAGAACGAACAGGTGTTTTATAGGTATTCACAGCAGGATGTGTGGAAGGAAACATCATATCTTGAAGCAGGAATCAGAGAGAGGGAGGGTGTAGGCCTGCTCCTTTTACAACAGTCCTCTTGCAGGGCCCTCCCAGGGTTGCGTGAAGTATCCCTTAATCCCTTGCAATGCCATGTCCCCCAAGGACCCAAGGACCTTCTACAAGGCTCACTTCTTAATGGCTTCATCACCTCCCAACACCACCCCCCTGAGACCAAGCTTTTAGCATGTGGTCCCATGGGGAGCTATCAAAGCCTATCCAAACCATAGCACCTCAGTAACTATCTGTGTTAGTCAGCTTTCCATAACAAAATACCCAACGTAATTAATTTATACGGAGCACAGGTTCACCTGGCTCACAAGTTCAGAGGTTCCATGATGGATTTTCCCCATTGTTTGGGCCTGTGATGAGGCAGTACATCATAGTGGGAGCACATGGTTATGCAAAACTCCTTACCTCTTGGCCAAGGAACAAAAGAAAGGAAGAGAAAGGGGACCTCCAGGCCCTTTGAGGTCACACGTCCATTTTCCCAAGGATGGCCCTGTAGGTCCCATGTTTTAAAGGTTCTACCACCTCCAGATAGCAACAATCCAAGGACCAAGCCCCCAACATGGGCCTTTGAGAGGCACACAAGATCTGAACTACGGCACCTTTCTTCTACTGTCTGCTATTCATCAGCCCAAGCTCAAAGTGGGGAAGTGATGTAAACTCCACTCCTTACGGGAAGGAGTGTGAAGGAATTGGTGAAGACATTTTAGAAGTACCATCCCCCTGATCCAGGAGGTCTCCTGGCACCCTTGCTCCTTTCCTGGTCCGGAAAATGTCAAGCCCTGTCCTGCATGGGTTTCCCTGTCTCTGTTCTCCACCTCCGAGAACCAGGGGTGAAAGAGAAAGACTGAGGCAGGTAGGCTGAGGAGCCCGGCTGAGCCCCAGATTTTGCTGGGAGTCGGACAAGATGGTGCTCCGATGATTTAAGCTGCTCTGGCTACATTTTCCGGGGGGAGCAGGTAGGTGGAGCCGTGTCACCTGCCACCCCGTGTCGCCTTGGCATGTAGAGACACGAGTCTGAGTGGGTCAGTCCCTCCATCCAGAATACTGTGACCAAGAGTAAGATGTGAGCTGACAGTCCCCACTGGGGGCTCCTCATGGGACCCCTGGTTTGCAGGCTGATCCCCGAAGAGCCCTCTGGAGAATGTCGCAGAGGCCACAGCGGATGAAGAAACTATGCAGGGTTTGCATATCCTCTTCCTCCACCACGCCCCCCCCACCCCCCCGCCAGAGCAAGCAGTGCTCTTCATTTGTTTACAGACTGAGTATCCACTGAGAGCCTTTTTAGGAAAGGATTCTGTGACTGTGAATAGAACAGCTGAAAACCTTGCAGTGTCTGGACTTTTTTTGTTTTAGGGGAAGGAATTTCTTTCTTGGCTGCACATGTGAGTGAGCTCAGTTTGCCATCCTCCAAAGGACCAGGAGAGTTCCTGCCTCTTCTCCCTGCCCCATACACTCCAAAAGCCTTGGGCACCATTCCTGGGAGACGTTTCAGGAATAAAGGGAGTGGACTCTGCAGATATGAATGTCTCCTTTCTCCTACAGGGAGGAGCCAGGGGGCAGGGTGGGATGGGGAACCACAGGATCTGGAGCGCATGCGTGCGTGCGTGCGTGCGTGCGTGCGTGCGTGTTGCACCGTATGGTGGGGCAGGTGCAGGCGGGTGTGATGTGGGCATGGTGTACCTATGTGGGTAGGTGTGTGCAGGGTGTGTAACCCATCAGGCAGAGGTGAGGGCAGGTGGGTGGTCCCTGGGGTGTTCTGGTCCCCCCACCCTGTTTCTCCCTGTTCCTGGGGCCTCCCTCTAGGGCTTCCTAACTCCTCAGCCTCCCGCCTCCTCTCAGGTCTCCTCCTCCCAGCCCAGAGTCCCAGCCCCTTAGGTGTCCCTGTCTCCTGAAGGCCCTATCCAGCCGGTCTCCACACAGGGTGGGTCCCTTGTCTGTTGCCCGCGTCCCTGTGCTCTCCTCCGTGAGTCTTCCTGTCGCCCTGGGCTCCATGGTGGTGCCTGCCTTGCCTGACAGCAGCCTCCCGCAGGGGTTACCTGCACGCCGGGCTGGAGTTCGGTGCGGAGTGCTACTGTGGCCACAAGATCCAGGCAGCCAACGTGAGCGAGGCCGAATGCGACATGGAGTGCAAGGGCGAGCGCGGCAGTGTGTGCGGCGGGGCCAACCGCCTGTCGGTCTACCGGCTGCAGCTGGCCCAGGAGTCAGCCCGCAGGTGTACGTGAGTTGGCCCTGCCCCAGCCCCATTGGCTCTCAGCCCCAAATCTCTGCCCTGCACCTTCCCTGGCCGCTGTCCCTCCAAGCCCCCACTGTCCCACCCCAGCCTTCCCTCCGAGGCCAGCCTCTGCCCCAGCAACTTCCACATCCTGCTGCCCTGCTCCCGCCTGCCTCCTGCACCTGCTGGACCCCACTTCCTGACCCATCTGCTTGTTTCTAAAGCTGAGCTGGATCCTGAACTGTGCCTGTCCTTCTTCCTGTTTTTCTCCAGAGCAGACTGTCTCTAATGACAACAATGATGACAATGACAGCTATGACAGTGACAACACAAACCTCTTGTCCTTTTCTGAGCATCTCCTATAGACCACTATCTAATCTTCACAATGACCCTCAAAACAGGCACTAGCATTTACCTGTTCCCATTTTACAGATGGGGAAACTGAGTCTCAGGGACAATTCATCAGGGAATGTGGGTGTTTTTGGTTTGAGTCTTATAAAAGCTCTCTGGTTTCCAGTCCAGGAAAGGAAGAGGTACAAGGAAAGGACAGGGATCATTGTCCCATTATTGTCCCCTTCCCAGAGGCCTAGGGCACAGCTCAGTGGTAGAGCAGTAGCCTAGCATGAAGAAAGCCCTGGGTTCCTTCCCCAGCATGGCATAGATTGGTAGATAGTTGGATGGATGGATAAATTTCACTCACCTTCCTCACCTCTTTTCAAGTGATTGCCATTGTTAATCATCCCCATTTACAGTCAGGAGATTGAGGCTTAATGAATTTAAGTGTATTTGCCACAGAACACATAGTCTAATTCTATGCACTGACAACACCCTTGCTGACTTGCGCTACCATCCTCAGAAGAGGATCTCTTGGCTGTCACCCGGTGTGATTCCAGGTGACCTTCAGACCTATGAGAGGAACCGGCGGACTAGATGAGGGTTGGAGGCCTGGGCTCTCTGGAGATTACCCCACCCCCAACCAGTGCAGTCAGTGCAGAGGAAGGGACAGACATCACGACACAGACTCCTCTCACCCTTTGGCCAGTGCTTCCCCAGTGTGTATGTGCCTGACATTCCCTCAGGGAGTCTTGTTGGAATGTAGTCTGGTTCAACAAGTCCATGAGATTCTGCTTTTCTAAAGAGACGATTCCATACTTTGTTTTTGTTTTTGTTTTGTTTTTTTTTTTGGTTTTTCTCCGGTACCAGGAACCGAACTCACGACCTTGTGCTTGCCAGGCAGGTGCTTTTGCCACTGAGCTAAATCCCCAGCCCTACGATTCCATACTTTGAATGAGCCTAAATTCCAGTTACTCTTGCCTAAAACATAGTTCTGTCCACATAGGTCAGTTTGCAGAAAGTTAACACCTGTGTGCAGAGAAAGGTCACTCTTACGTGAATTTCATTATTTATAGAAATTCATTACTTGATAACACGTTCAGTATTTTCAGTCCTGCATTTCTGAAGCCCCAAGCTTTGCTCTGCAATAAATAGGGTGGAGTGTGCAATCAGTTGCCAATTTCTAAAACCGGACACACCATCAACCCCCCCACCCCGAGGTCAGCTCAGTTCATGTCTGAAGGCTGAGAGCAGAGGTGATGTGTGAAATCCAGGCTAGAGAGTGTCTACACAGTGGCTTTCTAGTTTAGCTGTTAGTGCAATGAGTTTTTAACTTGACGGTAGACTTATCATCCTCACAAACAATCCCCTTTGTGTCAATACTCAAGTTATTTTAAGGGTGACTCTCTGACCTTCTGAAGAGATGACCTCAAAATCAGGGGTGTTCAGAGGGAAAGCTGCTGCCACTAAAATACGCTGTGGCTGAGGCAGAGATGGATGACCAAGTTTGGGTTGTAGATGGCATCAGCCAGACATCCCTTTGCTTAATGTTCAGATGGCTTAAAACATTCTCTCTCTCTTTCTCCCTCTCCCTCTCTCTCTCTCTCTCTCTCCTTCCCTCCCTTCTTCCCTCCCTCGCTCTGTCTCCCTCTCTGTCACCTAAACGTACATACGCACACATGCACATGCTGTTGTGACCATCCAATATAAGTATAATGATACTTTCATGGACCAGCAAATACTGTTCAATGAGCTGAAATATATAAGCCTCAACACACATGGAAATCTCTTACAGTAGGTGTGTTTTGCCCGTGTTGCAGTGGGATGGCTGGATGGCTGCTGGGAGCTGCTACTGAGGCTGGCAGAGATGCTGCTGGTCCCCCAGCTTACCCTCCTCTGTGCTGGTGGATAAGGGTGACACGTCCAATTGGGACTCCTGGGCAGCTTTTATTGAACCAGAGCACTTGATGAGCTCCCATGTGGACTAAGAGTGGAGGGGCTCAGTAGGGAATAAAACACAGCCTCTGTCCTCCGGGAGGTTACCATCTAATGGAAACAGACCCAATACCACTGGAACTGGCCAACCACAGAAGATATAAACAAATGACTACAGAGGCTCTGTCTGCAGAGGCCAAAAAGAAGCATTTGAGCTGAATCTCATTCTAGGATTTCACATGAATGGGAAAGCCATGTATTCCAGCCACGGGCAAAAATCCAGGACTAGCCAAGGTCATGGGCTGAATGCCATGTTGGAAACATCTTCCTGAGTGATGTAGCCATTTTACACCTGTGGGAACTGAGACACAGAGAGCAGAAGTGGCTAATTCAAACAGCCCCGGGGGAACGCTCAAAAGAAGAGGAAGCATTTGATGAAGGCCTTGATACATGAGATCTTATGGTGGAGAAGAGAGGATACCCAGACTCAAGACAAGTCGCCAAGGGAAGGGAGAGAGATATGGGCAATGGGGTTGAGTATGCAACAGCTTCAAGGTGATTTCAGGACATGACTGGCAGGCACGACTTCCAATGTCTTGGTGACTCTTCCAGACTGAGCCTGGGCTGGGACCCAGGTTTCTGACTCGCAATCTGGGTGCCCACTCACTACAGCGTTGTACATCCTTGAAATGGATTCAGAACCCCATCTCCTATTTTTTGGGGGGTGGGGACTCCTTAGCTCCAGTTTAAGTCCTTTGTTCCTCCTTTGGCTTTGTTTCCCTACTCCGTGGCACCCTTGACCCCCCACACACAGAGGGATACCTTCCAAGTCACATGCCCATGTCCCTGGTACATATTACATCAGACAGAGAAATGTATAAGCACCCCAGGAAACAGATATGGTGGAAACCAGATTCCATTTGTAGAGTCATTAGTTGGTATTAACTCTGTCTCCTAATGGTATTTCCCTGTGCAGTGGCACAGAACTCTTTGTGATTGGGAAACTCCAAAGGAAGCTTATTAACTCCCAAGCACTACACTGATTTGGGCATCTGCTTGGTGCAGGGAGCCAGCTGATGTGTTTCTGAGGTGATGGGCGGGTCCTACAGTAGCAAAAGCATTACCAGGTTGGCAAAGCAAATGTCTGCAGGCACCCTGCTATTCTACCTTGACACAGACTCTCGGGCATGTGGATTCTCTGCCCTTGTTACAAAAGAACCAAGAAATGGACTTCCTCCGTAGTTGTATTCATTTTTCACAGCAGTTTGCTAACTGTGTCAGCAAATAGAGTTCTCCTCCCAGAGGAAGAGACCTGCTGCTTATTTGAAAACATCATGACCTCATAGGCTGTTGCAAGGAATTCCATTTGCCCGAAAAGGTCTTGCAGGGCTCATTAGAAATATGCAGAGAACTAGGTTGTTCTGGAGAGTTGGGTGGCTGTCCGTGGTGCTGACTGCATTTTAGTGAAACCGAAACCCCGTGACTGAAGAACATCTCCAAAGACTCAGAATGTTTTTCCTCTTGCCATTGTCATCTGCCTTGGCGAAGGTATTTCAAAGCTTGTGCTGGAAAAACAGACACTTGACTTGTGCTCTACAACTTCCATGGTGGATTTTGTGTACTGTTATTAGTCCTGGCAATTTTTTTTTTTTTGGTCTCTGAAAGTTAGGAGAATTTTGTGCAATGCTTTTTGTTTTATTCTCACCAATATGACATTCCTACTGCTTCTGCCGAGGGAAGCCTCAGAGAGTTCAGTAAAGTCACAGTTCCTTGGATGGAGTAGGTCTGGTTCTTCCCTCCCTGAGCCTGTACTTCCTTTCAGCATGTGGCTGAGATGCCTGAATTTTATAACTCATAGGTTCTTCCGTGTAGGAACAAGATGATTTTTAAAGTTTCTTCTGCATCATAAAGGGGGAGAATTGCTTTGCTTTTCTTTCCTCAGCAAAATCCAAGAAGGCAGGAAAACACTGCGTGAGGGTGGGGTGCGGGTTTTGGAATGAGACAGACTAAGTCCTGTCCTTGCTGTCTCACTTACTCAATGTGTTGATACCGGCCAAGCCACTGATTCTCTCTGAGCCTCAGATGCCTCATCTATAAAATGGGGATGATTCCAACATTTCACAGTGGCTGCAATCAAGTGGGATAAATCTAAAAAGCACCTGGTATGTGCCTGGTGCAGAGCCATGTCACTTCTTCCTAATGAAGATTCCCCAGTTTACCCCCAAGAAGTGCCCAATTTGAGTTATCTGAATTTCCAGCAGCTGTCAGGAGCCTTTGGTGATGTCTAAAAATAGCCAGCTTGAATTTTCCTCGGACAGTGAGGTTCTTTGTACAATTCACCCTCTCTCTCTCTCTCTCTGATTATAGGTAGCTGGCTAGCCATGAACAGCTTCCAGCTCACTGCCATTCTTCCTCACCCGCATCTTTAATGCAGTGGAGCTTGGCCTAATTACCCAGGGGGTAGTGGCCTCTTTCAAACCAAGGAGAACTCTTCCACGCTTGCCTCTAAGCTGATGCCTGGTGACATTTACCTCATTTTTGTGAAGCTCCAGAACAAAGAGATAATAGGACTTCAGAGGCACTTGCAGCTGGTTCTGGCCTCTTCTTCGTCTGCCCCTAGCAAAGAGAGTCCATGAACAGTTGCTCTGCTTGCTTCTTGTTAGTAAAAAGCCCAAGCTGCTGAGGTCATGCACCATCGCAGCTAGCCTGCCAATGAAGAGCTGACATTGTCAGA